ATCCGGAGGCAGGTGAGTTGGGGCAGCAGTAGGTCGAAAAGCCTTTCTGTGCGTGTACAAAACAAATTCCAATTGAGGTCGACGGGTGTTCGGTTGTTTTTCCTGTGTGCAGAGCCTGTCAACTGCCGGGACGAATTTAATGCCGCTCGAGAATCAGCAGGCCTAGAACCCTTCGCTGAAGAAACGACAGCCGCAAAAAAACTGCCAATAGGTGATGAGACGTACATCAAGGAGATTTGCAAAGCCATTCAAGAGGCAAGGGACTGTTTTTCGCCTGGCATTGCCCTCCATGGCGTTTCCGTCGCTCTTGTGCTCAGACTGTCCCCACATCTGGATTTCTGCTTGGCCGTTATTGGGGGATAAACATCTTTAAATTTATTTGTTTGTATTTTTGCTTGCTTAGGGGACATCAGTTGGCAAGACAACGGCAGCTCACAAGCGTTCCGGTACCTACGCCTACGCGCCTCAGGCGGGTCCTGCCAATGGCTGCTCTGCAGCTGTCTCCTATTGGAAACAGGCCCACGTGAACTTTGACGGTGTCCCGCCGGAGTACGACGAAGAAGAAAAGGGGGTGTATGCGGAAAGTCAGAACCGCTCGCTAGTGGCCCTGTACAACCCCCAGTCGGGCGCTACTGTTGACTGTGCGTTTATCACTTGTCCTCTCCCCGCTACGTCCACCACAACCGCCTCTCCCACTACGGAACAAAGCACTACGGAGGGTCAGACGGAAACTCCGACGGAGGCTCCGACAGAACCTCCGACCGAGGCTCCCACTTCACCTGAAGGGCCAAGCTATCTGCGCTCGCCAAGCGAGGAAAGCCAGGGGAGCGCGACAGCAGCCAACGCAGAAAAGACTCAAAGTCAGAAAGAGAGCGGACCGACCGTTCGGCGCCTCTCTACAGAATCGGAGACGGTTACTAGCCTTGTTTGCCTGATGAATCCTGCAGCACTTGTACAAGCACAAAAGCCGTTCTCGTACGTTGTGTAGAATATAACGTCTCGCCTTCCTCTTTGTTGCATCTCCTCCTCCCGTTAGGTTTGCTTTCCTTGGCTCACGCTTTGTGGAAATGTATCATTTCACCTCATATGTGTACTTACGCCGCCTGCTTCAGTCGTTTCCGAATTTTGTTGTGGCTAGGTGCTTCATATATTGTGGGGTGTTGTTGCTTTATTGGTGTTCAGTTGTTGTGTGATTGTGTCGCCGGCTAGTTTCACCCGGTCGCCCTCTAAGGTGCTCGCTAGTTGAGCTTTACTGCGTGTTGCTTTTGCTCTGGAATTGGTTTGGACATGTCCTTCTTTACTTGTGCACGAAAATGTTATATTCTTTTCTCCGTTTATGCAAGTTTCTTCTTTTTGTATGTGTGAATTATCTTTCCTGTTGGTTCCATAAAGTTTTTATGCCTGGTTGCGTCGACTTCCCTTGCTGAGATGTACGACGTCTTGTTGTGGGTGGGTTCCTGCGCAGTGAGGAGGTTTGGGAGAATATAAAGCAAGCCATAAAAAACTCTGCTTCTACCCCTACCCAGTCTGCTCTCCTCTCTACTGCCTTACTTCTGCTCACTTCCTTCATAGTTCTCTAGGCGTCGTCAGGAAGGGAAACCCCTTACGATGTTTGCAAACCTTAGCTGTGAGGGGCACGATAGGGGAAACGCAGTTTCCCTAGTGCCTGCACAACAAGGAGCCGCAGTGAATATATGTTTCTTTGAACCCCTAACATGGATTTAAAGGGAGACAAAAGGGATCAAAGTGTCTCTTAGCGATCTGAATTTTGGCTCGCAGCCACTGCAGCTGCTCTTGCTTTTGCGTGGCCCTCTCTTTAGACCGTTGAACCGTTTCAATTAGATCTCCTCAGGGTTACGATATCGCCCTAGAATGAAAGAGACAAATAGATGCAGAGAGAAGGTCTCTCGAAGTTCTCCATAGCATATCTGGCTGCCTTAGAGTTTCCCATCTCTTCTGTATGCGTGTTAGAGGATGTAAGGAACTTCAGAGATTCCTCAGGGCAAGGTGGCCACTGTTGGACGGTTACAGCCACTCGCGTATCAGCTTATAACGACAGCAGCCGGCCAAGCAATATAGCCGGGTCTCAAAGCAACCGGTTGCGTTTTCACAGTAATGCACTACCCTCGCTCGGGAGGTTGCGAGCGCACACACAATAGGTGTGCTTTAAAGTAAAACGATTGAGATATACTGGGTGTTTCTTTATTTGCACTGTGCAAACGACCGCGCCAGCGACTGGACACCAGAAACTGTTGTCAAATGGTCAATTGATCTGTGCGAAAATGCTCAGGCAGAAAAGAGAATTTTTCCGTGTCCAAACTGGCGCATCAAAGCCTCGGGCTCGTCACCACTTTTACATCTCTGGCGGAGATCAGCAAGGCCTCCAATCAAATACTACTTCCCTGGCAACATTTACTAATTTGTTCCACTCGAGATAAAGTGAAATTCGTGCAATTTAGCTGAAACGAGCAAAATTCCGCTCCCGCACGGGAAATTGATGCAGCACCGCAAATTATCACCACAATTTGCCTCATTTCAACTGAGAAACAAATTTCTTATTTTAGCTAAGGTGAAATCAATTTAGGAATGAGGCGTACGATGGTCACATGCCGCAGGACAAGTGAGCTTGTTTCGGGCTGCTCGCTGCCGAGGCGCTGTCCTCACCGCATGGACAGCCCTGTAGAAAGTTAGCAGACCAACGGCCTTGCAGTGCAGTTACAAAATACAACCAGGTCCATTTGGTTGGGATCTTGCTTCTTTGTGATTTAATTGTTGAATTTCTGCCGAAAACCA